AATTTCACGTTTGCAAGATAGCTAGTTCCGGAAAGTTCCGAGGATCACTCCGGAATCGCAGTTGTTTGACGTATCGACACCAGCCACCATCTACAATGCACCAAACTCTATTGTGTTTATTGAAAATTTTTAAATTTATATTTATTTATACATTACTAGCGTGTAACCCGCGACTTCGTTCACGTCAAATTAATCATTTGTAATGGTGAGGATAAAGCAAAGCAAGAATTTCTATTAACATACAAACTGGATAAAATTTTCTCACATTTATTTTTAAGCATGAGAAAAAACAATATGGCTATATTATATAACTTGGTAATATTTGAGGGGTAGTTTCATCTCGTTGGAATTTGACTTTCGAAAAATTCGTTTGCCAAAAATAAACTTTTTACGTCAAGCAGTTTAAGCAGAATCGTGGTTAATCAATTAGAGTTTAACAAATGTAATACAACTTTTTGGAATACCCTGTATGATTTTTTAAAAAATTTCAAAATATGTAAAAAAGCAAAATAAGTTATGCGTGTCCAAGCGTTTTCCCGAAAGACTAACCGTTTTTTATATAACAAATATTGTAATATTTGAGGGGCGTTTTCACCCTCTTGGAATTCGAGTTTCGAAAAATCCCTTCTTATCGAACCTCTACACCCTAAAGTCAATCCGTTTTCCAAAAATCAGCTTTTTACGTCAAGCGCTTTAAGCAGGATCGGGATTAATCAATGACCAGATTTTTGGAAACACCCTGTATACATTTTTAAAAAATCTTAAAATATGTAAAAAAATAAAATAAAATATACGTGTTTAAGCGTTTTTTCGGAAACTTCACCGTTTTTTAAATAAAAATATTATAATATTTGTGGGGTGGTTTTACCCCCTTGGAACTGGAATTTCGAAAAATCCCTTCTTATCGAACCTCTACACCCTAGAATCAACCTGTATGCCAAAATTGAGCTTCTTACGTTGAGTGGTTTTAGCAGGATCGTAATTAATCAGTGAGTCAGTCACTTAAGGATTTTATATATTAGTATAGATTGTATTCTATACTCGTAAAACTACCAATAATATAAGATTTTTGTATGAAAATGAAGTGATCTACGTCTGTTTATTCTTAACCGGATTCGATATACGAAATAGGTATCGTTTGTTTCCAAAGGTTAAACAGATAAAAAAATTTCATTTCCATAACTTATGGAAATCGAATATAGCGGGCGCAGGGGAAATAAAAGGAAACCCGAACCGCAACTAACAGAACGAAATTGAACGTAAAATTTAGTACTAATGGAAATGTACAGGGGTTTCAGAGATCTTTAGTGCGATACCTCCAAGCTTACCTATTTGAGGTAGTAAAAATCTTTAAATGAAAAACTAAGCTAAGAATATAAAAACAAAGTTATAGCACAAAATAGAAATCAACTATTGTTGTTTTCTATTTTGTTAAGTTGATTTCTATTTTGTGGTTATAGTCTGTAAAACGAATAACTTTGAATTTGACAGTTCCCGCGGGTTTTTCTAGTGTTTGGTAGGTTAGCAACTTGCAGCCATGCTGATGCAATGCCGTCTCTAATAGAACAGCCTTGGAGCGAGATTTATGACGTCACGCTAGTTAGATACTACGGATTAATAAATATGTTGTAGAATACATGGAAAACATACTTATTCCTCGTATTTTTGGTTTGTATTTTAAAAATGATATAGTTTACATGAAATATACTTAATATACAGTTAATAAATACAATATATATACCTATTTATAGTAATAAATATATTATATATATTATATATATTTATTATATAGATAAACTATGAACCATACAAATGCAGCAACTGTTTTACAATATGGCTGAAATCGTACTCCATAGTCAATGTAGATAGTTTTTTTGTTAACAATAATAATTTAAAAAAATATGTGGTCATCTTTTGACAATTTTATATTAGTTTATTAATTGCAGTAAACATTATAATATATAAATAAATTTTGCGAATGCAAATAATAATACATCACTATTAGTAGATATTGAATGTTTTTTGTTAAATTAGATCGATTTTCAAACCCCAAAATTTAAAATTTATTTTACATTTTACCCATTATCTTATGTACCACCTATTCATTATTTGTATATTGTAAAACATTTGCTGCATTTGTATGGTTCATACTTTATTTGCCAAAGTATTTATTACTATTAATAGGTATATATTATATTGTATTTATTAACTGTATATTATGTATATTTCATGTAAACTATATCATTTTTAAAATACAAACCAAAAATACGAGGAATAATTATGTTTTCCATGTATTCTACAACATATTTATTAATCAGTAGTATCTAACTAGCGTGACGTCATAAATCTCGATCCGTGGCTGTTCTATTAGAGACGGCATTGGTCTAATATTTAGAAATGTCAAAAGCTGATGACATTTTACTTTTGTCAATTATGACATTTCGTGTTGATTTTTGCAAGAAGAGGAAGAACTGTCACTTAAGAGTTACCTACCTGATTCGTTCAGGCAAGGTTCAGGCACTCAATTTAAAGAATATCAGTAACTTTTTAGATAGAGGGATTTTATATTTGCCATGTTAGTAAAAAATAACGGTCAAAATTCAAAGTTATTCATTTTATAGACTATAGCTGCGTTTTCGTATTGTATCTCTGCTATCATAGAACTAATCGCTACGAAAAATTCTGGAACCTGTCTAGGGTTCCCAACCGTCCCGGTTTGACCGGGATTAACCAGGAATCAGAAAGTTTGTCCCGGCGAAAATTTTGCCTTGGCCGGGACCAAAAAAATCACATTTACATATAAAATATTTGAATTTCTAATATTTAATGTTTTGTTTCAATTATTTAAAAATTTAAAAATAATTGTCCCGGAATCGCCGATGCTCAAGTTGGGAACCCTAAACCTGTCACGAACTAAAACGAGCGAAACTAAACTACGATTCGAATCTTCGTTCATATATTTTCGTTTAGTTTCGCTCAAGTGGCCGCTGATGCATTTAAAAAAGATTTAAAAGTATGGGAGCTGATTGTTACAAATCTTATCTTCGCTTAGCTTAGTTTAGTTTCGCTCGCAATGGCCGCCCGCCTTTTAATAGCTGTTAATAAGAATAATAATAAGTTTCACTTAAAATTTGCGTACATATTTATTTATTCTGTCTATATATATTGGAATGAATATTTAAAATTAAAGAAAATATGTAAAATTTTCTTTGAATTAACTAAACTTTTTTATCACACGTCTGTTTTACCTCATAAAATTATCCTTTTCCCTTGGCAGATAATCGAGTTAGCCAATTACTAAAGCCATTTCATATTTTCATCGGACATAATATTACGGTCCCTGGTCTGTATTGTCTCTGGAATAATTTAAAATACGTTGAATTTTCTGCTCTTTTGCCTCCCATTTTCCGACTTTCCATGTTTTCATAATCAAGTTCGTAATTTAAAAAACTGAAAAAAAGCTTCGTTAATAAAATTCACCATTTAATTTGTGTTTAGCCATTGTAGCTGTTAAAAATTATAATTTTTTATAGTATTTTTTTGCGAATGAAAAAATTTAGAAAAAATATTCACCTTCAATCACAGCTTATTTACTACCAGCTGGTTATGTTTACTTCTTTATTGAGTATTAGCGTTTTACCTGCTGAGCCTATTCCTGTACAGATGCTGTCAGGCTCAACTACAGAACACCAATATCAATTGTTTGTTAAACAAAATTTAAATATTAGCGTTGTATATACAAGGTGCCCCAGAAATAAGTGCAAGTATTTTAACTGGTAGAATAGTTCAACCACAGAAACACGCGTAAGAGGTTTTTTTCGCGAAATTTTTTTTTGAAAATTCGGAACTTTTTGAAAAAATTTTTGGATTTTTTTTTAGTTTTTAGTTAAAAAACATAATTTCTTGATAATATGGCAACATAGGTAGTAGATTAATTTTACAAGAAACAAAATCCAATACAAAGATTCAGTGGTTCCCAAAATTTGAGCAAAAAATATTTTTTTTGGAAATTTTCAAAGTAAAATAACTCCTTTATTTTGGATTTATTTGAAAAACGATAAAAAGAAAATATGTTTCTTTTATCGAGATCTATCGGCCCTTAAAATACTTTCACTTATTTCTCTGGAACACCTTGTATAATTTAATTATCTAAATAATTTGTGAAACATTTTTGTGTAGCATTCAATAAAATATTATTAATTTAATTAACGTAAAAATAGCGTTAAGAATTAAACAATACAACTAAAATACAAAAATTACATTTATAAATTGATATGTTTATTCTAACTCCGTATGATTCGAAAAAAATCGGCGTCACAGACGGCTGGGAATGACAATCTATGATGATTTTGGCAAGAAAAATCTTTAGAGGTCATTTACTAAAACTGGACATGAAACTTGTTGTATTTGCTTACCAAAATTTAATAATTATTATAGAAAGATTAAAAAAGGTTATAACATTTCTAGACACACAAATTTATTTACAAAAAATGAGTTTTTCTCGCATTTTTAAACTACACCATTTTTTCTCGATATAAAAAAATACGTTTTTCTTAACGCCAGCTGGCAGTAAGCGTCATTATAATGTAAAAAAGAGTACGTGCCAAATAAATGACGTCTAGGGCTTGACCTCGCCAAAATTATTGTCATTCATCGGCCGTCCTTGACACCGTTTTTTTTTCAATTGGTATTTTTCCATCTATTATTGTAGATCTGAAAGCATCCCTTAGTTATTACAGATTTCTTTTTGCTGAACAACAAAAATCAATAACCTGTGGTGCCATCTCTGTAAACCTTGCCAAACCCAGTCTATCGCCTTATAGATATCTGTAACATTTAAAAAACATTTAAATTAAAATTAATTATAAAAACAATCAACACATTTGATGTAAATTAAGACAATGAACAATATACACCCGAATAAACAAAACTGCATGATAAATACAAAATTATAATAATAAATACCGTTATTTCTGTAATTATTCTAGTAAGTAACGATTGGCAACATCGCCGGCGATCTAGTTTTCAGTTGGTGGCGTTTCGTTGCGCAACTGTCGAGTCTCGAATAGAAACCCAAAAAATAATGAAAATTTCTAGTGATTTGCCCTTTTTCCGACATTAAAGTATCCGAAGAATGTTTTGTGACATCGAACAAGAGTTGTTTTTAGCGCTAAACCAGTTAAATTGTTGAAAATGTGTTACTACATCAGCTGGAGGCCATTTTGTTTACAAGATTGACATAAACATGGAAATAGACTTTTATTACGTAGATTTCGCTTAGTTTTTAGTGTTATTTTTGTTTAAAGATGTTCTATTTGCCCTAACGAGTAAGTACGAATTGGTTTTTACATCGAACAAACCGACACCTGTCGTTATTCTGGTTAAAAAAGTTGCTTAAAGACCTGAGCAACATGGCGCATGCATTGTTGCTGTTTATGGTTTTAGCGCCAAATTTAAATTATATTTGTTAATTTAAATAAATAACAGTTGCCGTTTACCTGTAAATTTTGGTCGCAGACAATGACCGCCTGTCGCGATATAAATATTTATACGTATTTAGACATTCTACTTTTAGAAATGTGGCTTTTAAACTCGCTTAAAAATTACAAAAAGGTAAATGGGTATGCCCTACTTTCCAGTACAACTCAAAGAATCCGGCTTTTATTTTTAAGTCTTTATCTGATTTCGGTGTATTTCATGTTTATTTATTTGGAAATTCGCCGTTTTTCTATAGAAGTAGATTTTTTTTGTATAAGGGTGATTATTGTTTACTTTTATTTTTTTAATTGATCAAGATTTTATAGGTAAATTATCAATTAAAGTAATTGTTGGTCATAATAATAATTGATGTATGTATATTGATAACTATACCTGCCTTTTTAAAAATATTTTAATTACTATTCTGAAAATTATAGGTTATGTTGAAATATTTAAAAGGCTAGAACCAGGCTAGAACAATTATTTTAGATATTTTTAAATTGTGTACTATATTATTTCGGTTTTATTTAATTGCCTAGTAACACCTACTTAGAGTATGTATTTATGTGCATATTATGCTTTTTAACACTTAAACTTCAAGAATACTTAAAAAATATTGATTTTCTGCGTTAGAAAAGATTAAGCACACCAAAAATGCCATTTATAAATTATATATTTGAAGTAAAACAGCCTACCCTTAACTGTTTGGAATATCTGTTTCAATATTAAGTCTCTACTCTATAATATTTTATTATTTAATATATATATTTTATTAATATAATAAATATTAAAACTATACAACCGTTTACAGGTTATAAGTATTAACAGGGTATAGTTTTTTTAACAAAACAGAAGTACCTCTAGTTAATTATTTGAAAAATCTATTGCAATATCTAAAAAATTCAACAATATATTGTTAAAATTTTGTTATATTTAAATTTAATTGTTTATATAGTCTGCCCAACGAGAGCCACATGACAGTGACAGTGACAGTTTTGCCTGTCATTTTAATTCATAGGTAAATTGTACTTTCTGTAATTTTTTGGATGTCATCTATCAAAATCTTTTCTTACTTATTGGACAGACTTTACCCTTATAATTATTGCAATTATGCAACTCTGTATTTCTAAAATTATCTTTTTATTATTGATAATTTGTTTTTAGGATGGCAACTAATGATGGTGCTACAACGGAACTCTTTACAGGCTGGTCCTCCGTGGTCCACCAACCTGAAGATGAACCAGAAGAATCGGAATTGCCCTCAACTGTGGATATTGGTGCTCTAACCTCGGGGCCTACGGATCTGAATCCCACTCAGAATGAACCTCAGAGTGAGTCGGACAGTGAGGACTCGGAGGCAGATTCAAGTGTAAGTTTTTTATTTACTAAATTGTGATAATGATAATAAATACTCTTGCGAGAATATTTAAAATCATATAGTACATAAAGCTGAAGTCAATAAGTACTAGTCAATCAATACTGAAATTTTCAGTCTGAAAATTATATTTTTGCAATTTCCTGCCTTGTGAGTGTTATTTATTGTTATTCTAGAGGTATGCTCTCTACACATATACAGCATGTCCCTGGATTGTCTTTACAAGAGGAAAAACTTTTTTATTATTGACTATTATATTAATTTTGATCACAAAACATCCCCCTTTAGAACTTTTTCGTTAATGGTCATAAGTGGGAGTAAAAAGACCAACTGCACAAACACTAGAGGCGCCACCGGTCATCAAATGGTGTAAAAATTGCGAAAATTTAATCATCTAATTTTGACACAAGGGGTCGCGCTTAACTTTTTTAATTTTATTTCAATATTCATTGCTTTCAAACTATATTATTAGACTTTGTTGTATTTTGTGAGTGTATAAATGTTTTCTTAGTATAAACTTGCATTATATTAATTTAAATTATATTACATACATATTTAAAATTCAAATATTATGACATATATGTCAGTTGTCGTCTAAAATGTCATCTTGATAACAAAAAGTTAATTATTGTCAGAAATAGTTAAAATCGTGTTAAAATATTAAAATTTACAAGTTATAATTAGATATTTTCATAATGGTACAGCGTAATGTTGATATGCAGGTCCAAAACAAAAAGTGCCGTTATATTTTTCAGTTTTCGTTGTCAGCCGCGGAAGTTTCAGTGATTTTAGTGTAGTCGGATATTTTTATTTGTGAAATAGAAATATTGCGTTCGGATTGCAAAACTAAAAGTGGAAGTTTTATTCAATGTAAGTAAGTGTTTGTCCATTTTATATTTTACTTTTTTCATACCTACGACAAATATACATATATTAAAATTTAACGATTCGTTTTATTTAAAAAATGTTAGAAAACAAGCCTGTAATCCTGTAATTGACATAATTGTAATGTAATATATTCCATTTAAATGTAATATATTACTTTATAATTAAAAAAATTAAATTTAAAAAATATATTAGAAATATATACAGACATTAATTGAAATTTTTAGAGTGCGAACAAACACGAGAGGCGCTTTATTATTTACTTTCATTTCTTAACATGACAGATGAAGTTCTAAAGAGAGATGTTTTGTGATTTTGATTAACGTCAAATTTTTTGCTGTTAAGTAATATATTTTCCGATAACTACATATTATCACCCTTTCTGTAGAATGAACTAAAAAATTGTGTGATTCTTTCACATTTTAAAAGAGCATAAAATATAACGTTAATTTAAATTCTATCGATAACTATCTATCAAAAAATGAAATCGAAATTATATTACATACCATGAAACGCCTTTTGATTTTTAGGACTTTAGAAAAAATTCAGTTAAATGTTCATGTTTTTTTTTAAATTTTTTCTAAAATGGTATAGGAATTTGGAAAAGAAGTTTTTCCTCTTCTAAAGACTATCCGGGCACATAGTATATAATTATTAAATAAATTCTTATAATTATTTTGATAGCTGTAAATAACTTGAGTATATTTAAAGGAAAAATTAATATTTTCATATTTATATGAATATCATTTTAAAATATACAATGGCTTTAAACAGAACATAATTATTCTTCTATAGAAAAATTATATTTAATAGCAATACGTGATTATTAATTTAGCTAAACAATACTAGTATTAATATTACAATATGATATTTGTATAAATGTCTTAAATGCATCTTAAGGCATTTATACAAATGTCATATTATAATATCAACATTTTATAGCAGTCAATAAATTGTATGACATCACACTGCTTTTACCTTTAAATGTTTGTGCATAAATAATTATTGCCTCATTTAATTTCTTAGGATGCCTATTAAACACTGCTAATTTTTATAAACTATAACTTTTGAAATATATATGTAATCAATATCTATAAATTCTTGTTTGAAGTATATTCTTAATCTCTAATTGAAAATGTGAAATAAGTACTATTTTAATAAACATTTTATCGAATTTTACCCTATATGGTTTTTTTAAGTTCTGATTGTGCAGTATTTTTTGTTTGTTTTAAATAAAAAATTATATTATACTTTAGCAGATTTTAGATAGAAGATCACTTTAAGAAATTCATTCTTCTGTAGATTATTTCTATTACTGGATAGTCTAGCCATAGATAATCTTCTCCAGATAGGTGATACAGGGTGTTTTACATGTAATATTTAACTTTTTATAGGATTTATTTCTCAATTTGCTTAAAAATATATAAACATACTATGTATATGTCCAAGAAAATGGTAATGCACTGGTTTATTTTAACTTTTTGGATTTTTTTTAGTTTCCAGGTATTTCTGCACAAGGGTTGTCTCTTGTACATTTTTGTTACAGTTTTCAATTATAAAGAAACTACACTCTACACTTGTTGCATTCTCCACTGGTGCTACCACCATCGGAGAATACCGTAAACAGTCGATTAAACAAATTTACGGGTTTAAAAGCCAGTACACGAAAAATTTGTTATATTATTTGAAGTAGCGATGGGAACTATCGAATGAATTAGACTATCGAATGGTTAATGAATGAATGATTTCAACTATCGAATGGTTTTATTCGAATAAAATCATTCATTCATTTGTATACTAAAGCATATGTGATAACCTCGCTGTGCGACTAAATGGTTATCGTTGAGCCACGACTATCGAATGCTTTTGACAAATGAAATTTAGTATTCGTTTGATTTTTGTATGCGTCAGTGCATTATTAGTTCTTCCAAATTTTTATAACTTCGCCGTATAAATACTGTGCTATTTTTGCGTTTATTAAAATAGTAGTTATTTTTTAATTTTATTTATTGACGATTGTGTGCATGTGCAGGTGGTCAAAATTTTTCCGAAAATTTGTGTGGTTTTCCGTAGTCCGATCTTTCAATTATTTAATTTTATATGGTATATGGTCTATTTTTTAATGGGAAATTTTGAGAAGTAGCAATTTTAAGAGAGATGAGATGAACTTACAATTAATTTTAAAAATACATATTTGTATTTTAGATGTTTTAATAATATGAATTAGTTGAACTTAATAATCATATTTAAGTAATGTGGTTAAGTAAATGGTTATCGAACTCAAACTATGGGGTGAGAAAATTAAAATGAAAGTTTTACACGTGCCAATTAAAAAAAAAGTTAACGATGTTTTTATTTTGTTTATGCTACTTAATTCTCTTACATGTAGTTTTTTGCGAAGAAATATTTCATTTATTTTTTAAAGTAAATGCCAGTAAAAGTAAATATAATTTTTAAATAGTAATATAAAGCTCCTAATATAAATAATTTTGATTTCTAATTTTTTATTTATATTTTTCTTCCATTACACTGCATGCTTAGAAAATTAATAAATGTTTATATTTCATGATTTTAAAATTTGTTGTTAATATAACAAATTAGTTCTGTAATTATTATTATTTAATAAACCAACGTTGCTACACACAAAAATTTAGAGACTAAAAAAAATATTTATATTAAATGATTTTAAATTTTATTGTTAATAGTTATTATTACTGTTATTATTATTTATTAAACCAGTCTTTGCTTAAAAACATTAAAACTTATTTTCCTACATCCAAAATAACAAGTATTATTGCAGTGTAACAATAGAATATTAATAAAAAAAAATGCAGAATATATAGACATACTATCCCTAACTAACTAAAGCCAAACAATAATATTCTTTGCTAATATCAACTAATACCAAAATATGGCAACAGCGCCCTTCATAATGTATTTTTTGTGTAAATACTAGCACCTCAATAAAAAAATAATGTGTCCTTATCTATATCTGACTCCGCAAAAAATCAAAGATGCCGGCTTCTTTCATAGCATTGCCACCGACCGCTGTCGGGTTTCTCGGAAAGAAACCTACGTCGCCGGGCGACAACTAAAATCCAGTTTATATTTTATTATAATCGATCCTGACGAATAAATGAATTTTACAAATGAATGAATTTTATAAATGAATGGTTTTTGCTGCCGAATTAATATATTTCAAGGCAGATGACGCATCTATTCGATATTTTTATTCGAATAGTTTTCAACGAATGTTTTCTTACTAACTATCGAATTATTCGAATGAATTGCAACTATCGAATGTTTCGATAGTATTCATTCGATAGTTCCCACTACTAATTTGAAGAGTATTAGTAAGTGTAATATGTGAAAATTCTTAAAACAAAATTAAAAATATAAATCTTTGTATATTATCTTCAGAAGGTCTAACGTGTATCATAATTTATTACCCAAGATAATACAACTTTTAGGTTAGTAATAACACGCTGAATGCTTCAACTACGGTAGCGACCATAGTTTTATGCGTCGGTTTTGCTAGTTAGAACATAACTAGGGCTATCTAGACTGTAACGAAATATTTTAAAGGTACATAATTATAAATTTAAAACACTTCTATAAAAAAAATAAGCACTAGTTGATTAAAAAGAAGTATACTATTAATTAATGATGAAATTATATTTTATTCTCATAGTATATCCCTTTGATTTATGTAACGCACAATTAACTTTTCGACTGAAATGCATCAGGCCTATTGGAGCACCTAGTTTAAAGTTGTATTTAATGCAAAGTGACTCACTTTGTTACTAAAGTATATCACCTTATTTTAAAAAGTTTCATAGTGCAAAATATAAGTCATTTGTTTATACAGGGTGTTTCAAAAAACATGTGCCATCTCTCGTGGGGAGATTCCTCAGGTAAAAATAAGATTTATTTTTCATATCAACATAGGTCCGATTCTGCTTTATTTCGTAGCTACAGGGTGTTAAAATCTTAATAATTTTTCGATTTATTATAATTTTCTTCCAAGTACTTTTTGTGATTTGAATGAAATTTTGAGGGTATTAATCACAATTAATAAAATTAAAATAAAAAGAAATTAATAAATTATTTATTTTACCTAATTTATTATTAAATATTATTAGTATTAGTTATTATTACTAATAGAGTCCAACATACTGCAATTTCAAATAAACAAATTTGGTATTTAAGATAATTACAAAAAACCTAATTTTAAAAAGTTTTAACACCCTGTAACTATAAAACTATGCATCTCAGTACCCATGTTTATAGGAACTCTTTTTCATATTTTTTGATGAGGAATAAACAAATACTTATTTAAAATTTTCCCAAGTTAATGATATTAAATTTTTTAAGGTTTCTATTATGCTTGGATCAAGGCAAATTAATAAAATTGCATTTCTCATAAAGGAGGCCGAAACCGACAAAATATCAAGTGACAACTTTTAATCAGCATTAAACTGCTTACACTATTTCGCTAACAAGAGAAAAAATAGCCAGTGGCGCACATGCTTTTTTTAGAAAAATATTCCAATGATAACCCATATGCACGTTCCTGGTGAATATGGCGACACTTTTTTAGCCTTAAAATTTTATTCAAATCGCTAAAAGCACTGGGAAGAAAAGTATAATAAATCGAAAAAATATTAAGACTTTAACACCCTGTAACTAGGAAACAAAGCAGAATCGGACCTATGTTGATATGAAAAAAAATCTTATTTTTACGTGATGAATCTCCCCACGAGAGATGGCACATGTTTTTTGAGACACCCTGTATACCCATTTTTTCGTAAAGCGATTCAGTAAATAATCCTATAAAATGTTAAATAAAAGGTAACCTTAATTGAGACATACTCTGTATATTCTGTTATTAAATTAGTTTATATTTCATTTCCATTTTCAGAATTCGGACGGCTCTGACGATTCCTGTTCCCGCAGCGACAGCTCGGACAGTGACAGTTCTTCCTCCTCTCAAGACTCCTCTTCCAGGTCGCCGAGTCCAGAATTCTCGGTGACCAGTTCTCAAACCAACGGTCTCCGGCTAACCATAGCCACCGTCCGCAAGAGCACCAACAGCCCCATCAATACAGCCAAGAAACCCGATACAGACAACGCCAAGACCAAAAGTCGCAAAAAGAGCACTAGTAGCAGCAGTTCTGAATGCTCCAGCGACTCTGACAGCGATTCAAGCAAAAGTGACAGTAAAGAAAGTAAGGTTATACCTGTTCCTCAAAAGTTTGAGGTTAAGAAGCCTCCTGCTCCTGTTTCGAAGTTGAGGTTAGGTGAGAAAGGTCCAGCTGCTATGTGTCGCGCTACTACGGTAAATAACCTTCAAGAAAACAAGGCCAATACAGCGGCAAAGCTAAAATTACCGTCAAATATCAGTTCTTCTAGTAAAGAAGTTATAAAAGATGTATCTGTTTCAAAAGAAACCAAAAGAAAAGATAAAGATGTAGTGCCTAAAGCAAAACTACCTTCTGAACTTGCTGTTTCTCAAATAAAACAGAAACCTGCATCAAATATTGGTGCAGTTAAAGAAAGTTCGAGTACTGTTCTTCCAAAACTAAGAAGTAACAGTCAGTCTTTGAATAAAGACAACAAAGACCCTGTAGTTAAAGATACTCCTAGTGTAGTTAGATTAAGAAGTTCTAGCGCAGTTAACAAGGACTTATCTTCTTCCAATAAAGAAAAAGTTAAAGAAATCCCAACAAATAAGGACAAAGCTAAGGAAGTTCTCCCTTCGACGAAGACTAGGGTAACAACTGTCGCTGGTGTGTCAAGTAAAGAAAAGGAAATAACTGTTGTTAAAGAAAATGGGGGTGTAACTCAGTCAAAACGTCCTGGAAATGTGGAAAATGAAGGAAATGGTAAAGAAAAGGATGGAAACGTACTAAAGGACAAGGAGAAGAATGGAGAGAAGAGTGCTAAAGGGGCGGAGACTAAGGGTGGAAAAAAGAAGGTTAGGCTGAAGAGGCGAAGTAAAAAGGTAAGTGTTTTTCTTTTGTGTTTTTATAAACAAGAAAAAAAAATGGTTTCACTGTATACTGGGTGATGCATCGTTGTTGGTAAACGTAGGAAATCCCATGCAAATTTTGAACTGTCTAAATATTGGCTCAGCAAAGTCGTAAATAGGTTTTTTTAAAGGTCTACATATTATGCTGAATACACTGGCCAAATTTGAACAATTTTTGGACAAGCTTTTGATCTATCTGCATCTATTTTTCAATTAAAATTGAACAGGTAACAAGGCAAAACCAGGCAACTGTCAACATACCAAATTGTTACCATTTGTCTCCACATGGTAACCCTGCCACCTGCCACAGGGTTAATATAAAAAATGCAAAATTAAATAATAATTGGAATTTTAATTGTTTCACAAATACCGTATGATCAAATAAAAACGGCGTCAGCGATGGCTATGAAATGAAAATAAAAAATGTTAATATTCTGAAAAACAATAGTTTTGTTATACTTTTTGCTACTACCGGTTTATTCTCTTCAATAATCAAGGATAGCATCATACGATAAAAAACGACGTCAAAGATGACTTGGAAATGAAGATCCCTGTCATTTTATGTATAAAATTATATAGGAAATGCCATCGATTGTCATTTCATAGTCATCGCTGACGCCGTTTTTATTCGATCATACGGTATTTTTTTAAAGGTCACAAAAGTATTAATTTTTGCGACGTGATTGCAATATAAAAAAGTCATTTTAACGCCTAGGCGTAAAAGTGCTTCACTTTAGCACAAAAGTACATACGAAAAAATAGTATTAACTGACAGAAAGTGTCAAATTGTACGAGCCTAACCATAGTTTCTTGATATACAGGGTGGCGCACCTCATTCGCCTCGGTTGATTATACGAAATCGGAAAGATGTAAAAACAAAATATTTTATGGGTATATGTGGGGAGGCAATGTGCACAATTTAAAATTATTTTGAAATATACAGGGTGTCTCAGAACTAAGATCCATATCAAAGTTATATTTTTTCTTATGGAACCCCCGGTATTTTATTTCATTTTTGGATTCTTGGACCCAAAAAAAGGCATTTAATATAAAGGTTAAATATGTTTAAAATCTTTGGTTGTTGAGATATTTAAAGATATTTAAATATGCACGAGATATTTAAAGATATTTAAATATGCACGCTACAAAAGAATCGATTATTAACACCCTGTACATTACTTTTCAGAATTAATTATTGTGCTGAGTTTAAAGGTAAAGAAATAAACTTTACTGAAAAATGTTATTGTTACCTTAAATTTATACAGGGGTACCAAAAATTGGTGTTCTATTTTAAGGATTTATTTTACATAAAAACTTTATTTCAAATGCAACACCCTGTATTTTTTTAAATAAATCGAAGCAGATTTTAATGCTCTTTCAAACTATATTAGGGTTTCCTATACCTATCTATCTCAGATTTTGAATAAAAAGCGATTGTTAAATAAAATGGCAGTCAAGATGGCTGGTATCGCCATGGCAATTTTCTAGTGACAGTAACTATTTTCAAAATCGAAATTAGTTTATAGACTTTATTTAAATTTATACCAGTTTACTGTTATTTAATTTACCTACAATGGCTTAATAATATTTATTAATATGTATTTATTATTCTATCAAGAAAAACGAAGAAGTAGTTCTTTGTTTTATTTTACGATAACTTGTAGATATATGGATTTTCTATAAAAGAGCCAATTACGGCAAATCCAATTTCTTCACTTCCAACGACAGGTTTCTGCCTAGTAGGTTTTTTTATAAACTACACTACCAACTCTGCGAAGTAGGAAATAGGACAAGTTGTTTTTCAAAGGAACACTTATCAGGAAGTTTCCTATTTGGATATCTTTGAGCATAAGCCCTTTAGACCAAGAAATAATTTTCCTCACAAAATAAAATCACTAATAACATATCCATTCGTTCCGCCAGCAGATACGGCTTTATTTTTCTTCATAAGATAAAGAATACTTACTTATTGAACTATTGTGGGTAAATTTTAGTAAACTGTTTAAATAATAATGTCCATAAACTAATGTCGATTTTGAAGATAGTTACTAACTGTCAATAGAAAATTGCCATGACGATACCAGCCATCTTGATTTTTATTTTATTTAAAAATCGCCTTTTATTCAAAATCTGAGATAGATAGGTATAGGAAACCCTAATATAGTTTCAAAGAGCATTTGAATCTGCTTCAATTTTTTTAAAAAAATACAGGGTGTTGCATTTAAAATAACAAAGTTTTTAAATAAAATAAATCCTTAAAATAGATCACTAATTTTTGGGACTCCTGTATAAATTTAAGGAAGCAATGACATTTTTCAGTAAAGTTTATTCCTTTACCCTTTAAACTCAGCACAAGAATTACTTCTGAAAAGTAATGTACAGGGTGTTAATAATTAATTCTTTTGTAGCGTGCATATTTAAATATCTTTAAATATCTCAAAAACCAAAGATTTTAAACATATTTAACCCTTGTAATATATGCCTTTTTTTGCGCCCAAGAATCCAAAAATGACATAAAATACCGGGTGTTCTGTAAGAAAAAATATAACTTTGGTATGAATCTTAGTTCTGAGACACCCTGTATGTTTCAAAATAAATTGTGCACATTACCTCCCCACATATACCCGTAAAATATTTTGCTTCTACATCTTTCCGTTTTCGTATAATCAACCGAGGCGAATGAGGTGCGCCACCCTGTATAATTACATACAATGACTTTTAAATCTTTTTATATTACTTGGAACGCTTGAAATTGTTTAAAAAATTATTTGTGGCCTTTGGAAAGAAAATAGCATAATCTATTCGGGGTAAAAATGTCTTTTTGTGCCTCGTCTGTATGTCAAACGTACAGTTTCGCCACAAAAAGTATCATTTTTACTCCTACAAAAAAGTTATTTTTTGTAGGATTAAAAATGATACTTTGTAAGTAAAAAATGAGTTTTGTGTACTTTATTTACTTAAAAATGTGATATAAACGAAACTAGATATTTTAAAAATGACATATATCATTATTTAAACGCCTCAGTCTATTTTGACAATAAATATCAAGATATCCCACAGCTCTTTTAGTGATATTTCAATCGCCGTACTCTACATAATTTAGAAAGAAAGAAAGAAAGAAATTGCTTTATTGTCATAAAAAATTAAACAATTTTGTTGACAAAGCTTAAAAAAAAAGAATATAAAAAACATACAAAACTTCACTTAACAATAAAAAAACATATAAAACTAACAGCAAACATACAAAACTAAAACAATACTTTATACAATTATAGAAATTGTACATTGTCAAAAATTTATTTAATTAAATATAAATAAAATATAAACATACATGTAAATAAACAACTGTATATAATGTCAATACTAAATTTAAATGGATAGAAAACAAAATCATTTCTTAAATTTAGTGAATGTGTGTTAAATTTAGAACCCTAGATATTAATAAAAAAATCGTTAACCGCGTAAAAGGCTTTCTCCAGTAAGTATGATCTCAAGGCTCTGCGAAATGCAGGAAAGGATGAAATGGAATTAATTTCAGATGGCAGATGATAGTGCATTTTTTTTTGCATTGTACAATTGGGAACTCTTTACTAACTCAGAGTGAGGGGTTGGCAGATACATGTTATGCTCTGCGTTCCTAATTGGATAGCCATGAACTGGCTCTAGAGAAATACTCGATACGTGCTTGCGAACTAGGCAGACGGATTCGAGTATGAATAGGGAAGGAAGAGTTAATATTTTATATCTTCTAAACAAGTCCCGGCAGTGAGCACAACTGGTTAGCCTCAGTGAATATCGCACAGCTCTCTTTTGTAATTTGAAGATACGCTCAAATTGAGTCGCACAACACGCACCCCAGAATGGAAGTGCGTATCGGAGATGCGACTCATAAAGGGCATAATAGACTGTCCTAGATGTTGACAAATTAAGCACATTAGCAACTGATCTAAGTGCGAAACAGGCAGAACTTAATTTTTTAGCTAAAGCATCGATTGCAAATCCCATTTTAAACAGTTGTCCACAACAAGGCCTAAAAATTTCACAGAATCAACGACGTCAATGGTGGTATTATCAAGTTGAAAAGGTAGCAACGTACTTTTATATGATAAGACTTTAGTTTTAGAGACGTTGAGACACAGATAATTAGAATCGCACCATGTTTTTATGTTGATTAAGTCACTGGAAATGGTTCTATGAAGTGCCGTGGTGTCCGGGCTGCTCCATGTGAAACAAGTATCATCCGCGAAGAGACAGATTTTACCACTGATGTCCAGACTAGCAATATCGTTGATAAACAACAGAAACAAAATAGGACCTAGCACTAAGCCCTGAGGTACTCCGCATTCTATTGGCTTGCAAAAAGACAATCTTTTAATTTAATAATGCTAATAATGGCATAATAGTATATAAGGTGAAAACCGGTTGGTAACAAACGGTTAGACCGAGCGCATAAATAATTTATTTTCATATTTAAATAAATTGTTTCCAACATACCCTTTAATCAGTCGAGCTCGCGCCATTATATTCGGAATTCAAAGCGTAGGCGTTGTTGTGTTGTTTTGTTATTTAACAATGATTTATATCAACGCTTTGGGATTAAAGGATTCGGATTTTTTTATCATTTTGTACTTATTGTTGATTAATTAAAGTGACATAGCTTTGTTGCGATTGCTATTTTTTGTTGTTAATCTAAAGCGTAATAGAAATATGATAGTGACAGTTGTTGACATTTAAGTTTCTGTCAATTTTTGGATTTCTTCTGTCAAAATCTTCCCTCTTCTGTCTTTAGAAAGACAATACCGGATGCGTCTCAAAAGTGGCTCACCCATATAACTTTTTTTTTGATAAAAAATCGAGATTTGGTATGTTAGTATATGACATAAATTAGGATTGATTGACTTATTCAATTGTTTTCGGTTACTTCCTGTTTCACCGGAAATGACTACAACTTTTGAGTTTTAAATGGCACCATT